CACTGCTCTTTTTCTTCACGACATCACATCTAAACTAAATCAAAGCATTTACTTCCTGCTTATAGCTTATACAAAGATAAGTATTTTGTTTCAATTTATTTTTTTACCTGAAATAATGACTCAAAATATAGGCTTACTGGAGAACTAAACAACTGTACAAAATCCAAGGATAACACAGGGTTCTATGAGGTAATATTTCTACTGTTTTCTGGGCTGCTCTATAGATAAAAATATTAGAGTTCAAAATTCAAAGTGAGGGGAAAAATTTAACTGACTCACTATACGGGTGCTAAAAGAGCTTTAATGTTATGGATATGCCTGGAACCATGAAGTCAAAGTTATAGAAATTCAGAGACACTACTATTTAGCCTTAGGTTTGCTAAAGGTTTGTTTTCTGGGGGGATACAGGGGTTGAACTCAGAGCCACTCGACCACTGAGCCACATCCCCAGCCCTATTTTATTTAGAGACAGGGTCTCTCTGAGTTGCTTAGTGCCTCACTTTTGCTGGGGCTGGCTTTGAACTCCTGATCCTTCTGCCTTAGCCCCGAGCTGCTAGGATTACAGGCATGCGCCACTGGGCTCCACTGCCAAAGGTTTTATGTTAAATAATTTACAAGATCTAGGATAACATGTACCCATTATGTAAAAAATGTGTGCTTGTACATTAAAGGCTACGCCTCCTTCACTTAAAATGAATGATCCAAGTGGAATAAAAGAATGACTTATAGCTAACCAAGAAATAAATATGGTTCATTACATTAATGAAGGAAAATTAAGAGAAAATGTATTCAATGTTCATGACAAGTCAAGAAACACAGGTTAAAGATGATTTTATAAAGAAGAAAATCCACTGGGAAAAAACACTACTTCAATCTCTGATTTATTGATTTTGCAGAAAGGCAGTCATGTTATATTGTCCTACAGATGATAAAGTTAGATATAACTAAATATGTTAGAAGTAGGTAAATTACTTCCTGAATTGTATCTTCTGGGTATCCCCAAAGATGAGTATCCTTTCAATTTCATATTGTATAAACTATAACATAAATATAACTAGTGAAGACTATTACAATTAATATCCTCTATTAACCAAGGAAGGGTATCATATAGTTTAGTAAGATTAACACCAAAAATAGCTAAAATTATCTGAAAGCTTTAACTTGCCAAATGCAATCAATCCTTAGTCATGGACAACACATGATGCCAAAGAAGTCTATTAAAGTCAATCTACAGGTTATTTTGAGGGTGTACTTTCACTCCTGGTCTGTTTGAAGAGATGAACTCTGCTCCCATTTAATGCAACTAAGAGATCTGGAACCCTCAGAACAAATTATCCTCTGTAACCTATCTAATTTCTAAATTTAGGATGTAATCTAAATTCACACTCTCACACCCTGTTTAATTCCTATTCCCTGCATCTTCTCAGATCTTTCAGTGATCAGAATCAGAAATGTATTATAATCAAACTATATGTTAGCAAAAGGGCTTCTGCTAAGGGATACCCTTACAAGTGATTCAATCCAGTAAAAATTACCATGGTAAAAATTCTGTACGAGGGCACAGGGTTTCTCCAACTGTTACGCAGACAATTCTCAAACTGTTTCTTGGGTTTTCCTATGTGGCTCCTCCCTGCTACCAAATGGAATATCTGTCTCCTTCCTATTAATGCTAATAACTAAAACAGAAAGGTATTCACAAAATATATTGACTCTTAAACCTGGGATGAAAAAATATACTAATAATTAATATCTACTTATGGTCCTCCCTTCTTAAAAACTTTAATAAATGTATTTACTTTTCAACATTTTCTGAGGTTAACAGGAAAATATTTGGTTTCCCATAGAACAAATTACAGATTTAACTTGAGGCAAAAAAGGTTAAGTGACTTACCCAAGGTTACAATTAGAGACCAGGTCTCCTGAGTCTCAGCTCAGTGCTCTTTTCCTTAGCCCATGATGCCTTATCAGAAAAATCCAAATACAGTCAGACCCCCAGTTACATGGGTATGAGTTACACTGATTCACATATACAAACTTTATATAGTGTGACCAATGTTTCAACTCACGCGGTACCCTGCTTCCATTTATGCAGTATGCCAGGCATCGGCACGATTTTCAGTGGCACACAGGCGGTTGCCACCACCAGGGCCCTAGGCAAAATTGCAAAGAAGGCAAAGTTTGTCTTTGGCCCTCCCACCTCCATTATGCATTCCTCTCCCACCTCCTGGTCATCCCCCTGCCCAGCCTCCCAGCACCATCATGCTGCCCACTAATTGTTCAAAGCCCCCCACTTCCACACTCACCCAAGACTGTCCTTTCTTGAAGTGCCCAGTGATCCAAAAATTACCTCTCCATTTCCCTGACACCAAAATTCCTATTCCTGAGGATTCCAGTGAAGTTTAGGTAATCTAAATGATTAATTCATTTAAGTAATTCAAGATAAGGTACATTTAACTCACAGACTTAAATCTCCAAGGAATTTTAAAAGGGATTAAAAACTCTGTTGGGAAGGGGAGAGGGAAGAAATATTTTGGAAGGGAAACTAACATTTTTCCAGAGCCCCAGGACTCCTGTGCCACTTCAGCTGTTTTCATGGATGGGACACTGAAGATTGAGGGGGATCATGGCTACTTGAGCCTCACTAACCAAAAAAAGAAAATGGCTGCTTCATAGTCAGTCTCTGGGGTTTAAAAAAAAAAAAAAAATAGGACCAAGCTGCCTTAAATGCCCTCCTATCTTTTCCATCTCTTTCCCACCTCCTGGATCCCCATTTCCACTTCCAAATACACCCAACATCATTTCCCAGAAACAGTTTGTGTGTCTAATACAAGACTTCTCATTATATGGTTTCAAATTTCATGATGTTATTCAGAGATGTCTCCATGTTCCCCTATCCCTGGATAACTTGCAGTTGACTGCTAAAAAAAAAATAGTCTAATTATTTAAATATCCTGAATTATATCAAATGTGTAAAATTCACTAAATATCTAGTTAGAAGGAAAATAATTTCTGATTATATCAAATACATAAAATAATTTGGATATATTAAAAAAAAATTATTTTCCTTGAAAGTGGTATATTTCTTACTTCTGACCCAATATAGCAGTGAAAGTCCTGTTATTTCAGTTAAATATTATTGTGGACTCGTAGACATAAATTCATTCATAAATCCTCTAAGTCTGGAGGCAAAAACAAAAGAAAAAAAGTCCAGTGACAGACACATAATATAAATTTATTTGTATACAAAGCAGAATGGATTTGAAGAAATCCAGTTTTCTGCTGGGACTACACATCCAATAACATACACGCATGTATGTGTTACTCTAACTTTGCAATACTAGATGAGCTGCCTAGTTCAGAAATTTCTCAGGTGATGGTTACCTTGATCCAACTATTATCTTGCCAGTAATATCAGAAAATCTAATCTATGCAGAAAATACCAAAATGGTATCTGTCAGGGATTAAAAGGATCACTTAAAGTAAGTCTTATGACTTTATTAAAAAATTGTGTTAGTTAAGATCCTAGATGAAACCCCTTCCCAATACCCTCTCTTATGCTAGAAAAAGAGAAATGTTAAAGACATGCTGCAGTTATAACCATTCTTATCTACGCATGGAAAATGATAACAGTTAAATTACTCCAATGGCATTTTTATTTAACATTAATTTTCAAGAGTTTACTACACAAATAAACCTATTTTCTTCCCAATCTTTCCCTTCTCTCTATACAACCACAGTTTGTCATCTATACCTGTTTATCCTAATGTTCTATAAAGAAAAGTTTCCAGTGTGGGTTTTTATTAACACTGAACCGTTAACGCTGAAATGCCATTCTAAATAAGCATTGCTAAAAATATTTTAATGCAATGAAGTTTTTTTTCCTACTCACATATTTTGCTGCAAATCACTCAAGTAAATCATAAGAGCAACTATCATAAACTAAATTCAAGGGCCTTTTCTCCTAAGTCAAGCAACGTGAATAACTTCTCAAGAAAAAAGCATTTAAATGGCTAAGAAACTATTTGCCAAAACAATCAACAAATAAAAACAAGGATTTTCGGTTTTTAAGAAAGTACTCAACTAGACCTTTCCTCCACGTTGTCGTGAATTTAAGTTGAATTTGAAAGAGTATATTACTAATTATTATCAACAAAAAAGCAACAGATTTCTTCGTTTTACTTAGAAATTCGCTATGACAAAAGATAATTCAGCACGTAGTTGCTTTCTGTACGGATTCTAACCTAAGTGCCTAAAAATCTCTTTGTTTCCCTCGAATCTGCTTCACTGGGCATCAAATTTCCAAAATGGTCCTATTTGGGGCGCATGTAAGATTTGTCAATATTTACTGAACAAAGCCTCTATTAAATTGTCTAACAAAATGGAGGTCTCTCGGAAAAACAGGCCATAACATTTTCTTTTCACAAAATGGGGCCAAACACACCCACTTCAAGAAACCATGGTTTGGGTCAGATTTTCCATAAAAATGGTTGATTCTGTGGGGATAGATGGTGCATCTCTGGGACGGGGTAAGGTTTTCCTTCGCCCGGGGCGGGGGGAGGGGGCGGGTTGATTCTCTCTGGACTCTGGAGGACGGCGACGAGGGACGACCCAAGGCTCTGGGTTAAGGAACTAGATCGGGAGCCGGGGCTTTAGCGGTCCGCAGGTACCTAATCAGCAACAAAACGGGCCGCCCGACTACGCAAAGAGAGACGTGGGCTCTCCCATCCCAGCCAAGTCAACATTAAAAGCACAAACTCTCCTTTCTGCCCCCAGGCCCCGCCTAGTCCCATTGGCAGCAATTCCCGCCAATCCGCACGGTCACCGCCCCCCAAGCCCGCCTGCCAAGCCCTGATTGGATGGGAAGGGAGCCGGGGACCTCGTGTTACCAATCTGGGAGCCCCTTACTCAGCCACACGCGCGCGCCCAGGTGCGCCCTCGGACCCCTTCCCGTCGTCGGCCCCATCCCCTCCCCCACCCCCAGGGCTCTGGCAGACACTTACCGTCCCTGGAGGTGCCCATCAACTGGTCCAGCATCGCGCGCATCTGGGCCTGCGCCGACATGGCGACGGCGTAGCGGACGGACGGGCGGGGGTGGGGCGCAGACAGGCCCTTTCGGGCGGGGGATGAGGGGAAGGGGTGGGGGAGGTGCGATGCTGTCTTGGTGGCCGCCGCAGCCGCCGCCTCGAGGCGTGCGGAAGGAGAGCTGGAGGGGTCGCGGGAGAGTCCAGGCTGCGCTCCTCACGACGACGTGTACGTGGAAGACAGCAGCTCCCGAAAGAGACCCTCGTGCCCTCACTCTCCGTCCGGTTCCAGGAACAGACGCGACACGGGCTAAGCAAGCTCTCGCCTCCAACACCGCCACCCGCCAGAAGCCGTCAAACCCCCCCTCCAAGCTGTGACGCCGCTCGCCGCCACCGTCGTCGCGACGGGAGCGCGCACGTTCCTCGCGCAGAGTCGTTTCCCGCGGGCCTCCACCAACTGGCGTCCAACTGTCTTCGCTCCGCCCGCCCGGCCCCGGGCGAGGGTTCCACCCTAACGGCTCGCGGGCGCGTGCACGAGCGCTGCCCACTCCCCTCCCTCTAGATCTCGCGAGACTCTGGTACTTTAACCGACTCTCCAGCCGGATCTGCCCAGAGGCGCCAAACCCGGACCTCACAGCTGCAGTGAGACTAGGGCTGTGCTGGCGGGCCAGACCCCAATTAGCAAAATGTGCCAGAGGTTAGCCCGACGAAGTAAGTAGAGACCGTGCCCACCAGTTTGACAGACTCCCTGTCCTAACAGCTAGCGTGGGCGTGTTCCTGATGAATAATCCCAGTTCCAGGGCCCAGCCCGAACCGAGTGGACGCGGCCTTTCTTCCACGGGACTGTAGACACAGGGTCACTGTCCCACATCTGTGCCCCCAGCCGGGACATGTCAGGTTCAGGAAAGTACCCTGAAGTCAGTACCCCGGGAAACCGGCTCTCCTACCCAGTCGGATCAAGGGGGCAACTCTTAGGCTATATTTGAAGCTATAAAAATTAACCTGTGTCCTGAGAATTTATGAGGAGGCGATCTTACAGAACGGCAAGTCAGTGACTGTGACCACGGGAAAACCCGGGGCTCCACGGTTTCCTGTTGCCCTGCACTGACCTTTTACTTTTTTTTTTTTTCTTGTACCTGCGATTGACCCCAAGGGTGTTTAAGCACTGAGCCACATCCCTAGCCCTTTTTTATTTTAAGACAGGCTCTCGCTAGGTTGCTTACATTCTCCCGAAATTGTTGAGGCTGGCCTCCAACCTGTGATCCTCCTGCCTCAGCCTCCCGAACCGCTGGGAATACAGGCATCACCACCACGCCCGCCTCAGAAAATGATTTCTTAATCTTGCATGTCGAGTGGATATAACCACACAACTCTTGCAATATTGTTCTGAGAACAAAATGAGCCAACGGGAAATACCTAAACTAGACCTTTTGCCTGGTGTTTTTAAAACCTTTGGTAAAATTCTTTGAGACATTAATATTGTTTCCCTATAACTGTACATACATCGCCTTGGGACGTATCATTTCTAGTTAATGCATTATCAATTAAAAAATAACATGAAATAGCAAGCACAGTCCCAAGATCCCTTTAATTGTATAATGGGCCAATAAAAGTTTTAGTCATCTTTAGTAACTGACAAAAAATTTCTCTCTAGTTAGAAAACTTCAAATTCTAAACTAATCCAAATACTAGACCTGTCATTATCCTTTGAAAACTGATTTACAACAGTAGAAAAAAGTACAAATTAATGTCCTAGAGGGATGCACTATTAAACATTACCGTGAGAAACACTAGTTATGAGAAAGTACACCAAAATGTTGAGCCGCCCATAATGGTACATGCTTGTAATACCAGTGACTGAAGAGGCTGTGGCAAGAGGTTGGCAAGCTTGTGGGCAGCCTCAGCAATTTAGCAAGACCCTGTCTCACTAGCTCAGTGATAAAGTGCCTCTGCATTCAATTCCCAGTACCAAAAATAAAAAGAATAATTAATTTATTTTATTTTGCCATACTAGGGATTGAACCCAAGGGCACTTATCCACTGAGCTACATCCCCAGCCCTTTTTCTTTCTTTTGAATCGGTCTCAGTGAGTTGCGGAGGGCCTTGCTAAGACAAGTGATGCTTGCCTCGAATTTCTGATCTTCTTGCTTCGGCCACTCTAGCTTTCAGGGGGAGTATAGACATTGTATTATGGCATCCAGCTCTTTTTACTTTATTTAATTTATTTATTTATTTATTTATTTTTGGACACAGGGTCTCCCTGATTTGCCTAGGCTAGCCTTGAACTTGTAATCTTCCTGCCTTACCCTCCAGTGTAGCTGGGATTAAAGCCTTGGGCCACCATGCCCATCTTGAATAATTATGTTTCAGTGAAGAAATTTTATTTATCTACTGTCTACCTTTCTGATTACATTTTACATTAACCTTCTTGGCTTACATTTTAGCTGTATTTAGTATAAACAGCATAGTTGGGTTTTTAAAATAGTTTGGCATTTACTGTCTTTATTTTTGTTAGGAATAGAATCTAGGGCATTGTGCATGCTACCAAGCACTACAACTGAGTTCCATCCCCAGCTCACACACTTTTAATTGAAGCAAACTGAAGCATTTAATCATTTATATTCACATTTTACTCATATTTTGCTGGACACAGTGGCAAATGCAACTCTGGAGGCTGAGACAGGAGAATTGCAAGTTCCACGCCAGCCTCAGCAAATTAGTGAGGCCCTGTCAAAATAAAAAAGGCTAGGGATGTATCAAGTGTGGTGGGGCATGACTGTAATCCCAATGTCTCAGGAGACTGAGGCAGGAAAATCAAGAGTTCAGACCCATCCTCAGCAACTTTTTGAGGCCCTGAGCAACTAAGTGAGACCCTGTCTCTAATAAAATATACAAAGGGCTGGGATGTAGCTCAGTGGATAAGTGCGCCTAGTAAAATCCCCAGTTACCGTCTTCCCACAGTAGCCAGTGGCCAAGTGTAATAGTGGAAACCTAAAATCTCAGCAATTTGGGAGGCTGAGGCAGAGGATTACTAAAACCAGCCTCAGCAACTTAGTGAGATCCTATGCCACTTAGTAAGAACCTGTCTCAAAAAATAACAAGAAGTAGGGATGTGGCTTAGTGACAAAACATCCACTGAACATATTCATTCAGTTTATTTGTGATAAAGAACTAGAGAAGGTGGTAGTAGCTGAAAAAACAGTTAAAATAAGCCAAACTCAGTGTCACCCCTATAATCCCAGCTATGTCAGAGGCTGAAGCACAACGATTCCCAGTTCCAGGCAAGCTTAGGCAACTCGTGTCTCAAACATAAAAACCAGGCATGGTGACACATGCTCAGGGAGCCTGAGGCAGGAGGATAGTAAGTTCAAAGCCAGCCTCAGCAAAAACGAGGCACTAAGCAACTCAGGGAGACCTTGTCTCTAAATAAAATACAAAATAGGGCTGGGGATGTGGCTGAGTTGTCCAGTGCCCCTGAGTTTAATCCCCATACCAAAATAAATAAATATATAAATGAACGTAAAAAAAATAAAGGACTGGGGATGTAGCTCAGTGGTAAAGCCCTACTGGTTCAATCCCCTATGCCACCAAGACAAATTTTTAAAATTTTAATTAAACCATTTGAGATAAAGACAGAATAGTTATTTTTAAAAGGAAGAGCCTTGAGCATGTGAAAATCCAGTGAGGGAGAAGTTGATGTTGGGAGGGGGGGGGGGGGGGGTAAAAGAAACAGCAAAGTAAAGGAATATGATAAAGCCTGTATCACATCCAAAACCAGAGGAAGGCATTGTCCTGCCAAAACCTCAGCCTTCCCTAGTCCCAGGATCCTGCCAGTATAGAAAGTTCACTGCTAATACAGTTTGTGTTCCAAAATCAATTCTTTCTAACACTTAGTTGAGCTATTCTCCACCTGCCCCATACTAGGGATTTAACCCATGGGTAACTTTCTCACTGGGTATCCCCAGTCTTTTTTTATTTTTTATTTTGATACAGGGTCTCACAAATTTGCTCAAGCAGGCATCAAATATATGATCCTCAGCCTCCCTTGTTGCTAGGATTATAGGCATGCCCTGGGTTCAATCTTCACACAGCAAAAAGAGTGGGGGAAAGAAAAGCTGTTTTTTTTTTTTTTACTCTTTTTTTTTTTTTTTTAATATTTCTTAGGTGTAGATGGACACGATACAAAGCCTTTATTTTTATGTGGTGCTGAGAATCGAACCCAGGTCCCACCCATGCTAGGCAAACGCTCTACTGCTGAGCCACAATCCCAGCCCCCTAGAAAAGCTGTTTTATTATATTGTGTTTGGACAGAAATGGCCTGAGCAAATTATTTAATCCATAACATTTGATATGTCTGTGCCGAAACTTTCAGTCCTCCTGCTAAAACCTCCCAAGTAGCTGGTGTTACTGGCACGTGCCACCATGTCCAGTTCAAACCCCCTTATATATATATATTTCTTTAAAATTTTTTTTTGTTTTAGTTATACATGACAGTAGAATGTATTTATGCACTTTGATATGTCATACTTAGATAGGATATAATTTCTCCTTTTTCTGAGTGTACATTATTGCAGAATCATATTGGTCATGCAGTCACATATATACATATAGTAATAATATCTGTTTCATCCTACTATCTTTCCTGTCCCCACATCTCCTCCCCTCACCTCCCATCACTTCCCTCCACCAAATCTAAGGTAACACTATTCTTCCCTAGTGCCCCCACCATCTAATAGCATCCACATATTAGAGAAAACATTCGGCCTTTGGTTTTGTGGGATTAACTTATTTCACTTAGCATGATATTCTCCAACTCCAACCATTTACTTGCATATGCCATAATTTTACTCTTCTTTAAAGCTGAGTAATATTCCATTGAGTATATATACCACATTTCCTTTATCCATTCATCCATTGAGGGACACCTACGTTGGTCCAACAATCTAGCTATTGTGAATTGAGCTGCTTATAAACATTATTGTGGCAGCATCATTATAGTATGCTGATTTTAAGTTCTTTGGGTATAAACGAAGGAGTGGGATAGCTAGGTCAAATGGTGGTTCCATTCCCAGTTTTCTGAGAAATCTCCATACTGCTTTCCATAGTGGTTGCACCAGTTTGTAGCCACCAGCAATGTATGAGTGGACCTTTTTCACCACATCCTCACCAACATTGATTGTTAACCTGTATTCTTGATGATTGCCATTCTAACAGGAGTGAGATGAAATCTTTGCGTAGTTTTGATTTTCATTTCTCTAATTGATAGAGATGTTCAACACTTTTTCATTTTTTGTTGATCAGTTGTATTCTTCTGTGAAGTGTCTGTTCAGTTCCTTAGCCTATTTATTGATTGGGTTATTTATTTATTTATTTTTTGGTGTTAAGTTTTTTCAGTTCTTTATATATC